ATTGTAGCATAGTCATCACTGGCCCTTGGATTAGGAAATTCACTCGCATAATGTCTCATTTGTTTGCAACGATAGCCATGAAGTGGTCTCCTGCCACTTCCTTCAGGGATAATAGGTGTCTCTACTGGTATATAACGGCTAGGTCTGTTCTATGTCGAATGAGTAAAGGATCCTGATTGACCCATTGTTACTGTAGAGTCTGGCATTGGCTTCGTCATGGGTGGATATTGATGGTATCTTGGTTGGTTCGTCGCCAATCCGTGAGTATTGGATACACCTTCTTAGTGAAATTCAGAGTTGAAGAAATTAGAATAATTCCTGTTTTGTTTATTCACTCAATTTCCATTCCAGCCAAATCTAATATTCGTCTGTACTTGATTGACATCCTATGAAGTTGGTTGAGTCATTGTCTGGTTACTGAGTTGTTGTTGCTTCCGTAAATTCCAATAGTTGGTGGTAATATACTTGCCCCCGCAAAAGGTATATTGTATAGTCATTTGGGGTAGTGAAGGACATTTTGTTACTAAAAGACCTTGCCCCTTACAATTGCTGCACCAGACATTGGGACGCATATTGGTTGGATTATGCCTTTTTTCTTTATCCTTGGCCAGATTTACAGCCAATTCATCCATTTTTTTCATCAATGTTAACAATAATGATTCATTAGGATCCATTGATACCAATGCATTTGGCAATTTCTTCGTAGGTATTGGTTTCTGATACGCGAAATAAGGTGCATACGGGTGTGATGATGATGGTGGTACAGCTTGCAATGGAACGGCATCCACTATTCCATGTGGAATTGTACTATAATCATTTCTTCCTAGATAACTTCCCGATGCGTCATTCCAATTTTTCATTTGATAACCTCCTTGAGATGGAATCATCGTGGCTCTAACTATTAAGTTCTGGTCATAGTGACATTCCTCCCATACTTTTGCTCGCTCAAGAGATGATGCAATGGTGGCTGATTGGGCCTCTTTTACAAACATTTTCAATTCTGGTGGGTGTAATCCATTAACCAATATGGACAACACAAATGATTCTGGCATTTGGTTATTTGGCCATTTTTGAAGTATATCTGCTATACGACTATAATATGACTGTACCGCTTCTACTGGTACCATTCTGCTATTCATTAGTTTTTCTCTAAGACGTTCTTCAAAACCAATTGGACGAAAATGGGCTAAAAATGTATTTTTCAATACCTCCCAATTGATAAATTGTCCCACAGGTTGGCGGTTATACCACTCAAACGTTGCGTCTTTCAATGTTGCTGGCAGCCATCTCAGCCAAATGTCTTTTGTTATTCCATTATTGGCTATACACGCCGTCAAGAATTGAGACAAATATTGATCTGGATCCGCACCTGGCAAACCCCGAAAAATAGGTAATGGTACGACACTAGTCGTTTGATCGCCCACTGCACCCATTTGAACTGCAATCGAAACTGCTGATCCTCCGCACGTCATTAAAGATGTCGATGTTCTGCTCAATTCTTTATTAAAATAAAAACTATCTCCTATAAAAGTCTTTTCTGGACTTCTAGGCCTTCTCGATTGACTATTATTATCCCCAAATAATTTTACTAGTTGAATATGAGGTGAAAATGACAGGTTTTGATATACTCTGAACTGGTCTTTATTGGCAAGTGATTTATGCCGATCTTCAGAACTAATCTTGTTAGGATCAGACGTATTTTCAATTGAGAAGATACCCAGTAGAGTACCTAATTCCTCTGTGCCTTCCTCATTTTCTGTTAATGGCTTCGAGAGGTTTGTTCAACTATTAGCAGAGCTCTCCACGAGTGCTCTTGGCAATTTCTTTAATGATATGTACTTCTGAAATATTAGAGGTCGATCGTCTTCTAGGTACGATCAAATATGTCGACAAGCATGCAACCATGACTTAATCCAACTTTGTGGTTGCTTCTTTTTTAATTTACAATCTCGCTCATTACGCAACAAATTTCTTGCTTGCGATTGCTTTGTTCTTTCTTTTGATTACTTTATTCTCTTTGTTGTTAAATTCTCATTCTTAATAACTATACTCTTTCTTCAAACACTACTAAAATCGTCTTCCATTGCCAATTTTCTCACACGTTTGGTAATTAATTCCTAACATTCAAAGCTATTATCACTCCCCGACAGCGGCGCCAAAATGTGATTGCTCGTTTTACTTATTTTAGAAAAAACCTCCTAGAATAAATTCGTATAGGGAGATTCGAATACGGAGAATGACTAGTTGCTTAAGCGTTCACGTTAGGATCACACAATCAATTACCTCCTGAATGTATTGTCTCTATTTCTAATATCTGAATACACAAGGAAACTATAATTTCTTCCTTCACCTTATCAATTTCTTCCTTACAGTAATTCAGTCATACCAATAACTACTATTTATACTAATATATTCATCCTCATAATCTCCAACTGTAATACTACGCCCTCACAACTTTCAACACACAATTACCCTCGTTCCAATCTATGGAATTCTTCACATAGAACTACCATTCACATTACAATATTTTACATAAACACAGACTCATTCTCTCTGCTGAACTACAATCAGATTTCAGCATTCAATCTTTCTTCTTCTCAAATAATACCAATCACATTTCCATTCCATAATTCACTTCACAATATTCAGAAACTTTCAATCTTTTTATTCAAAGAAAATAACAAACAAAAGAATAGAGGTAGTACCAAGCTTATCTTTGCTCACAATTCTCACAGTCTGGCCCTCGGCTCAGCACTATCGCAGTCTGGCCCTTGGCTTACGACTCTTATAGTCTACCCTCGGCTCGGCACTCTCATAGTCTGGCCCTCGGTTTAGCACTATCGCAGTCTGGTCCTCGGCTCAGCACTATCGCAGTCTGTTCCTCTGCTCAATACTCTCATAGTCTAGCCCTCGGCTCAGCACTCTCACAATCTAGCCCCCAACTCAGCACTATCATAGTCTGGCCCCCTGCTCAACACTCTCACAGTCTGGCATTTTCTTTCCCTCTCCCATCCTCCTTATACTACCCCGAGATACCAACTCCTATACTACAGATGATAACTACTTTTATTGACTATTCATCTATTCTACCTGCTGAACCACCTTTTCAGCAGTTATCTATCCCTGTTTATACTATACACTAGGTATCTACATTCTGAAAATAACTACTTATTCTACAGTAGCACATGAGTATCCAACTATCTTGAATTCTTCATTAATTTGTTATAGATCTCGAAATAAAGAAATCCGAGAAGTAAGTTTGAATCTTAATCCGAGTGCACTAACGATTAATATTTCAATTGATGGAGTATTCTTATTGGAAGTGCAAGTAGATGGAGGATCTAGTGTAAATCTTATGAATGCTGTTATAATAGAGGAGCTGAGTTTGGATCACTTATTGCCTACTACAGTAGTTTTGAGAATAGCTGACTCTAGTCGAGTTAAACCTATGGATATTTTATGGAGTATTGATATAATAATTGCGGAGATTATCTATAAAATTGATTATATTATTTTTTGATTGCGAAGCTCTATATTGTCATATCCAATTTTATTAGGGCGACTGTGGTTGTATCAAGCTAAAGCTCGAAATGTCTGGGGCTTGGATACATTGACAATTACGAAAGGTAATGATAAAATTGTGCTTCAAATGTATCCTCTTCAATATCATAGAGAAACTCCTGAAATTCCATGATGTCAATCAATTAAATTAGGTACATGAGAAGCTCGCCAAATAATTCAGATTTACAATGGTATAAAAGGTAAGGATGGAGTTTTATAATACTATATTTATCAGACTAAAGTAAGTATTATATTAGAAGGTTGCCACTTAGATAATTGTGGTAGATATTTTGTGAGAGACAGCACGGCTCATAAAGCTTTACACGCTGGTTATTAGTGGCCAACAATATTTACAGATGCCCACCAGTTTGTCCATCATTGTCATCCATGTCAGGGAATGGATCGACCTACTAAAACTTTAGCAATGCTATTGGTACCATTTCTGGCTTAAGCACCTTTTGAAAAATGGAAAATTGATTTTGTAGGACCAATTATACCAGCTTCGAGAAATGGACAAAAATGATATATACTGGTAGCAATGGATTATGTAACAAAATGGACTAAAGCAGTAGCTATGAAAACCGATAGTGTAAGTACAGTAGCAACCTTTTTGTATGAAAATATTATTACACGGTTTGGTTGTCTACGTGAATTGGTTAGTGATCTAGGAACTCATTTTATCAATAGTACAATCATAGCACTCACATCTAAATACGAGATAAAATATCTGAAGACTACACCGTATCACCCTAGAGCTAATGGACAAATGGAAAAGACTAATAGAATTTTATGTAAAATCTTAACAAAAACAGTTTCAGGAGCGGAAACGGATTAGGATACTAAGTTGTTCACAGCTTTATGGGCATACCGTATTGCATATAAAGTCACTACCAATGCTACCCCTTTTCAATTGATTTATGGCCAGGAAGCAATATTACCTATTGAATTGGAAGTCCAAAGTTTACGAATTGCTATAGATAATAGATTGAGAGATCATGATTCATTACGGCACTATTTAGAAGAATTAGAAAAATTGGATGAAACTAGAGCTAATGCATTAATGATCATAGAAACTACACAAAAACAAAGGAAGACTTATTATGATAGTAAGCTTAGACCAAAGGCTTTTATGCCAAATGATTTGGTACTTCTTTATGATAGTTGATTTAAAAAAAATTTAGAAAATTTTTAAGTTTGATGGCATGGGCCATATCAAATTATTGACGGATTTTCAAATGGTTCAATATAATTGGAAGATTTTATGGATACTAAGTTTAAAACACGGATCAATGGAAATTGGCTTAAATTTTATTATATATAAATCTAGGATGGATTTTCTATTATAAAAGGAGGAATCGACCCAATCGATTGCACTATAGTAAGAAGTAGGAGGGGGGCTCTTGACAAGAATTATATTTTCTTTTGTAATAAAGGAGAAGATGGCGAACATTGTGTTTGAGAAAACAAGGTTGGAGACCGTTTGGAAGGAACGGCAAGAACTGCTGCAGGTAGAGGTTGCGATGTCGCAGACTAAACTAGCCGCATTAGCAAAGGAGGCAAATAATTTAGTGCAAACTAATACGCCTATTTCAGCAACAACACCTTCAGAGATAGCTTTGAAACCGACAGAAGAATGGCAGAAGATGTTGGAGGAGCATGACAACCAAATTGCCCAACGTAAGTCTCAGGTATAGGAATTGGATTTGTTGAATGAAGATCTGATGGCACGTTTGGATGGAGAATCCTCGAACACTAAGGCAGAATACGAAGATGTATAGAAGAAAAGGTCACCAATTCAAAGGGTGGTAAGTCAATTCCATTGACTGAGGAAGCCAACGCTGCTACGTTTTTATAAGTTGAGGCTAAATAATATTTGCAAAGATGCTGCACAATTAGGAGTGGGGCTATATAAAATAGGTAAATAAATTTTGTAGTAAGTTACTAGTTGGTTATTAACAACCTTAAGAATTAGACTTATGATTAGGCAGTTTAGTTAATAATAGTAGGATGTTAGTAGAACAAATGGTTAATAATTCAAAGGGTCATAAACCTTAGAATTTTTTGGCCGATGGATCATCTTTTTGGTAGAATAAATAGGTTGAGGAAAGAAAGTCGAGAGTCAGACTATGAGAGTCATAAGCCGAGAGCCAAACTGTGAGAGTTGTAAGTCGAGGGCCAGACTGTGAGAGTTATAAGCCGAGGGCCAAACTGTGAGAGTCGTAAGCCGAGAGCCAGACAGTGAGAGTCGTAAGCTCAGATAAGCTTAGTGCTACCTCTTTGTTTTCTTTGTTTTTATTATTTGCTTATGAAGAATTATGACTGAGAGAAATATTGTTGAATTGATAGTCGTAGAATGGATTATGTGTGGAATCAAGATGGAAGTAGTAAGCTTTGGTATTTTGTAGTTTGATAATTGATTTCTAATAGCGAAAGTACAGTCAATAGTGATACTAACAAATCCAATTCATATAACCAGTCTTTTCCCGTATTCGAATCCACCTCTATTAGTTCAATTGCTTTGATATACTGAAACTTGAACACAACAAGAACAACAACAACTCAAATAAATTCAAAAGTTAAATTAGAAGAGGGTAATCCGCAACTTCTTAAAATAAATCCCACAAAGAGAGATAATCCACTCTCTTTAAGGACAAGATTAGTGTTAAAAAATAAGGTTTTTTGTTTGAAGGTGGATAGTATGCAACCTTCAAAATATAACAATAGAAGTAGGGTAATCCACTCACTTCTAAAACAAGACCGAATCAATATGTTAGCACTCTTGTCAAACTGTCAAGGACATGAATCTTGAAGAAAGAGAATCCTAAATACACTCTTCTATCACTGAAGAGGATTAGAAAGTCACTCAAAAGGTGATGTAATATTAATTAGAATGGCTATTGCCTAAAACAAGAATAGTAGAAAGTCTTAGAATGAGATTTAGGACTAGAAAAGTATTGACAAGAGTGAAGAAGGTTTCACTCTTGCCTCCATTTATATACTATCTAACTAAGAGCTACGTTGTCGTGTTGTGGTTTGGCTACTATATAAAATTGATGTAATTATGTACTTAATATATAATTCATTAAGTAACATGGTGAGAGCCATATTAGTAGATTTTAGTTGGTTGTAGAATATAATTTGATTATTACCTTGAAAAGAGGTTGTTTAAAAAGTTTACTGTAGAATTTTTATAATTTGAATTTTTTTTTGATAGTGGCTTTTAAGATTGGTTTTGGTTGATAGTAACTTCTAAATATTTAGAATCACCTTTGTTAGACATTGGTGACTTTTGAAAACTTCTTTTGATTCTTTTATTTGGTGTTTAGAGCATAAATTATATAAATCTTATAAGAAAAAGTATTGAAGAAAGATTTTGGTAGCAAAAGGAGTAATCAGGGCACCAATATAGATGAATGGAGATGAATAATGAAAATCTCCATTCCTATTGGTCAAAAATCATGACCAATGGGCTTTGAGTTGGCTGCCCGAGACCATATTAGGAATTAGGGTTAATTTTTCGAGGCCATTCGAGTTTTGAAGGCTAGGGTCAGAAGGTTTAGGTTTTTGGCTATGGTTTTGGTGCAAGTTTTGTGTCATTTGGGGTTTTTATGAAGAAGTTATAGGCGCTCAAAGTTAAGGTGTTAGTTTTGGATCTACTGTCACTCTTTTTGGCATAACGCACGCATACGGACAGAAATTGAGGATCGATGACCTCAACTGGAGAGAGCACTTTTGCGGCTATACTTTTTATATATTGCTTACTGAATTCTAAGATGGGATGAAGGAGTTATTGGATTTTGAAGTCAGCACATGTAATCTAAGGATAGTAAGTAAACCGATTTACTAGTGGTTGCCTCTTGAGCTATATCTTGAGCAATTTGACAAGGTTTTGGCTAAAAATATCAGAGAATGTGTAATTTCAAGTTAGTAAACTTTGTGCATAAGTTTTATGACATTTGGAGTTCGGATTTTTGAGATATAAGGAAAATAGTTTTTCGGGAGCTTGTAAATTAGGATTTAGAGCATCTGCTAGGGTATCTTAGATTCCAAAAGATCAAGAGTAAATTTGCGGTTGGTTTTTTTTTTTTTTTTTTTTTTTTTTTTTTTGTGATAAAAGGTAAGGATTAATTCTACCTATTTTGTAAATTTGAGACAAACCAAATAGTTAGATCAATAGTTATGATTTTCTAAAGTTTGGGGCAAGAAAATCCTTCGCGAGAAAAATATGTTTTGAAGGAATTTTATTATATTTGGAGTTTTATACAAAAATAAAGGATTTTTGGAAGCTAAGACAAGAATCATATAAAGGTTTAAGCTACACTCTCTACAGCTAGATACTTAGTGTATTCCTAGATAGCAAATCACGCCATAGAACAACGTGGCAATATCCTATATGACCTTCAACATGTGTTGACTTGGCTAGCCATATGTCTTATCTTACAAGGCAAGTTATCTATATATGTGCCTCATAATTGGCTTGTTCTACAAGCTACTATATAGAGATAACTTATTCCACAAGATACCAATACATGGTTAGCTTTTTGGTGAAGTTTCTAATCTACAAACAAATCTAAAGTCAAAATCACATCTATGAAGCTTTTAAGAAGCTTCTCTAGAAGATTTTATGAAATTAGTCTATATTTACCTACTTCTACTTAATCATATAAGTAACTATTGAAATAAATATATATATCCGTAATATTTAGCAATATCTTAAAAATTGTTATATTGACTAAGAATACTACTAGACATCTTCACACCATCAGCAATAGGCGTGGCATATAAAATAAAAGATGGCCCTTAATTTGTAGTATGCATGAAAGCACCTACCAATAAGAGTTTGGATATATTATACTTATGGATTTCTACTTATATAGCAAGATCTTAGCCTAAACTATGGAAAAAATGAAGATTGCAAGAAATCAAGTCTATTTGAGGGTTATATCTTTCTAACCATGATAATCTTAAAATAATTGAATTAGAATGAGATTTAATTATATTAAATATTACTAAATTATTATGATCACTAATTATTAGTTCTACAAGAATATTTTATGTATAACATCTTCAAAAGATAATAAATGTCTATCTATTACTTCTACATATATAGGTTTGATTTTTTTAAGTAAAAATATATCTTATTTTTTAACAAAGTCTTCATTTATAAAACAAGCCGAGGCTCTTGAATCCAACAAGACTAAGAATTTTTTATTTTTTGGTTCTAAACAAACTTCTATTGTAAAACAAGGTGAGGGATCAGAGAAGAAAATAAGACCTTTATTAGATGTTGCACATGATTCTAGCTACACGGTTCCTATTATAGCTGAACCAACTCGTTTTTCAATACATTATCTTTTTTAGCGATCGTACTTCTTATTTTGTATGTGTTATTTCTTTGGACAATGTTGAGCAATATGTTAAGCTTCTCCTTAATATAAGTATAAGCCTTCATGACATCCTCAACTCTTTTCTTACCATGTGAGGAATTTCAAACATTCCACATCAATTTGCATTGATTTTGGCCTTGTTTAATAATTTTTTGAAAACTTAAGAGCTGCCATCATTATTTGATTTTTTCATCTTAAGCCATATCTTTGTTCTTGACATCTTTCAAATAATTTATTGTCACATGCAATAGCTTGAGCAATAAATTGTTTCAAAGATTTTATCTTTAGCATTGTTGTAGAATAGATATTAACTTGTGTTTGAAAGATATTGGTAAAATATATTAATAGTCCATAGAATAGTCAATTCAAGAGGACAGATGATTGATTTAATTATTAAAAGTATCTAATTACAAAATTATGGTTAGAATCTAAAAAAATAAGAAGAAAGTATATAGGAGTTGTAGAAATTAGTTTAAGGGCCAGATTGTAATAGTCATGAGCCAGAGTAAGCTTGGTGCTACTTCTTTCTTTGTTTATTTCTTGAGTTTTATTTTCTTTATAGAAAAAGAATTATAGATAGTTTCTCAAAAATATGAAGTAATGTTCTAGAATAAAAACAGATTCGATATTGTCAAAGAAAGAATTTAATTTATTGAATGTTGAGTTATACAGTGGTGAATTGAAAGTGAATAATTAAAAATATTTATGAAGAATGGATATGAATGGAAGGATTATAATACATTGAGTATTGGAAATTGGGAGTGATTCATCAGAAGGAATGTGTAGAGTCTGAAATTCTGTGAAGAAGTGTGTTGAGAAGGACAGTTAGTGGTGAAGTATTTCAGTGTTTGGATTATGGAATGATTATGTACTATCTTTTACGATAGTACGGGGTTACACATTATTGTTATCAGTAATGGCGGAGTGCCATTAAGAAGTGAAAAATATTATGGTATTCCTTGGTATTTTCAATGGTTCAAAATCCGATTAATTGTGTGATCTTAACAAGTAGAATTCATGTGCTTAGTCTTTCCCTACATTCGAATCTCCCTCTACAGATTTATTCTAAAAAGAATTTGTAGAATAAATAAAATAATAATTATAATTGCCAACAATAAGTCTTTGACATTATCCTTCAATCTATATCAAAATTGATTGATAAGGACTTTGTCATTCTTGTCCACATTACAAGCAAGGTTTTAGAATTTAACAACATATATTGTGGCTGATTGTGATCCTTACTATAAAGATAAGAGCTTGATCTCTGCTACTCTTTTTTTATCACTTTCTCTAAATGTGGC